AACCTCTCGTCAATATGCGTTTTTCGCATTGCATTGCTGCAAAAAAACGCATAAAAACTGGGACACACCATCATCATATTGCTCGTTAGTGAGGTAAGCCTCTGCTCTATCGCAGAGGACATCAACGTCGTTTGGATCTCCGTATTTGAGTACCTCTGAACAAGCTTCTATCGATTCTGCGATGTGCCCGGCCTAAAAAGACATTCTGAGACTTCCATGTTTGCTTGAAAAACCTGATTGCATTATAGTTCAGTACCGTTCTTCGGCAGCTACAGAGCCTGTTAATTTCCACCTGTGAAGGTCGATCAGTAAAAATTGTGCGACTTACGTGAAGATGGCATTTGCACGTTTGCCTGTAAACATCCAGCTGAATATTTTCCACTTTCTTCTCCACCTTCAGGATTTGTATTGCTTTTTCCAAGCAGTCCATCCAACGTTCTTCTTGCACTAGCTGACCAAGCGCACCACGCATTTTTGCCAGTTTTTTCACTTTTTTGTAAAACGAAAAACACTGCTCATGATCCGGATTCAATTTCAAACATTCACGGATTTGACTAAAAATAGATTTCGTACCGATATGCAATGGTCAGATCGATGTAACAAGAAATGGTGCTACTTTAAAACTTCTGGGCCTTGGGAAATCCAACTTGTCGACAATTCGCTTCCATGCAAACAGGATTCAAACCACTTTTAACTTGTTCTTCCAAGCAAAATCATGGGAAAGACAGATTTAGGACTGACTGAAGAAAAAACCTCAGCAAAATTAGCTGCCCATAGCCACTGCTGATAGGATGCTGTCGCTCGTGCTAATTACAGGTGTTTTAAGATTTACAAAGAATAAAATACAAAGGTGGCATCAATTCCAACGATACAGGAGGTTTCACTGATGATCGATCCTTAGTGATAACAGTGAAGTGGCATTTAGCTTCTTAACATCGCAAGAAAAGCGTGGCACTGTGATACTACAATGCAAGTAGCAAAGTGCATCAGGAAGTCTGGTGCTATCATGCGTTTTTGTGGCCCAGCTGGTCAGCTGCCTTTTTGTCTGTATGAAATTTGTGCTTTCTAACTGCTTCTGGCTGCTTTGATCTCTCCGGATCATCTGGTTCCCAAATTGGTAATTTCCCTATCAAAACTTCCACGTATTCGTGAGACCTAGATGCAATTAGGAGCTGAATTTGAAGTGTTTAAATCGCATATGCACGTGGAGTATCACCTGGAAATTTTAGCTTTCCAGCTTTTCTGGTTCTCGAGTCAGCAATTCTCCCGCTAAAATTTTCATGTATTCTAAGTATTAAGGAGCTAAATTTGTAATCTACTCACTGCACTTTGGGTAGAGGAAATCCTCTTAGAACTTGAGCTTCCTAGCTTTACTGGCTCCCGAGTTGGCAATTTTCCCGCCGAAACTTTCACGTTTTCGAATCTGAAATACATGCGCACTAGGGACTGAAACTGAAATATTTAGTTCTTACTCGGCAAGAATATACCTTTAGAATCCCAGCTTTTTAGTTTTTCCGACTTCTGAGATAGCAATTTTCCTACTAAAAAAGTCACGTTCTGTATATGCCTGAAAGGCCAGGGAATATATCCACAGACTATCAGCATCT